ACTATTACTTCTACTCCTACTCCTACTGATACAACTAGAACTACCACAAATAATGCTATGACTATTCTGCTACTGCTACTGCTGCTTCTGCCACCACCACTACCAGCGCCACCACCCTAGGTTACTAGCTGTTCTGCTGAAATGGGCGCGCAATAGGCTGGGGCCTGGACAACGGCGCCCGCTCTGCGCTCCTGACCCTGCCTCCGGAAGCACAGCAGGCAGAGTCAGTGTTCGGGTTTCGGAGCTGTTGGCAGTCGGGGGGCGGGGGTGCCGAAGGTCTGGAGAGCTTTCCTTGAGCTGCCGTCAGGATAATATACGATAGTATACTCCAATATACTATGACATACTAAAAATAATCTGATATACCATAATATACTCTCATATGCTATGGGAATTGGAGGCTTGGGCATTTGGGGTTTGCGAAAGCTGTCAGCTGTATGGGCTCTTATTGGAGGAGTCCGGGCTGCGAGATGCTGTAATATGTACTTGGGATCTAGGGGTTTAGGAGTTTGGGGGTTTAGGGTTTAGGGTATATTCTCGGTCATATTTATGAGGATATCTCGAGAGCCTACATCTCCGAGTATCTGTTTGATGGCAAATTTTCAGATGTAGATGTGCGAATGACGCTGCTCAGCACGAAAAAACCTACGCCCCCAAAGCCCACAACCCTTACTAAAGTTGCAAATCCTGAATCTGAATTCCGAAAGCCTACTCCCCTAAGCCAGAGATGTGAAGAGGCCGCCATGGACGGCTTCAGTCCTTCCATGTCCACGGAGTGCACGAGCTTGGCACACAGGAGGGCATCACATTCAGGGGGATTTGAAGGACTAGGCTTTTGGTGCTTGCGGGTTTTGGGCTTTCGGGGGTTGGGGGCTTATAGGGTTGGGGATTTCGGCTTTAGGGTGTCAGTGTTAAGGGTAAATACAGCTTTACGCTTTCAAATTTTTTCAGTGCCAGTACCCAGGACCCACAAATTCGCATGTTCATGGTATCCCGCTTTCCCACGCCACCTAAGCGAGATTCTGCATCCAACCTTGCTGCAGATGACTTTCCTCATGACAGCCCTTTACAGTTACAGAGCGGACACCCTAACCGCAGAATCCTGAACCTGAGATCCCAACCAAGAATTCCCCACACACTCCTCGCAAACGCAGCCCTGTCGAGACCCTAAATCCTAAATCCTAAACCCTAAACCCTAAACCCCAAACGGAGCCCTATCGAGACGCCTTCTCCATGGTAAACCCTTGTCTCCTTACCCTCGAGAGCTTCAAGGCCCCTTTGACACTCGAGGTCGGAGATTCATCGCATACTTGCGCTCGGTGCTGTTCTGAGTCGGGTCTGAGGGTTTAGGGTTTAGAGTTTAGGGTTTAGGGCTTAGAGTTTAGGGTTTAGGGTTTAGGGCTTTTAGTTTAGGGTTTCTAAGATCTGGGTTCTTTCGAGACATCCGGAGTTGGGGGTCCCAGGTTCAGGGTGCTTCGGGTCAGTAGAAGACGGTTGCAGCAAGTTCCTACGGACCGATAGCCTTTGCATCCAGTATCCAATTTTGTGTCTTTTGCTGAGGCATCCCTTCCAAGTGTGGCTTTAGTCGCTTTAGTCGTAAAGGCCCAGTATACAGTACTGTATCCTGGCTTGATTGGCAAGCAACTGGTTCATGGAGGTAGGGCCGTTCCAAAAAGCCTGAGTGGTAAGTTTTAAGATTGTTCTTCCCTCTCAGACCCCTTGTACCTAAAAGGTAGAAGCCCGACACAATCATGGCGTTCCTGACTCCCAACCTTGGGCAGACAGAAAACGGGCGATCAAAAAACAAACAAAAAAGAAGCCCGAAACCCAGAAGTATCCACGCAGCCAGGCCAAGCCACACTTGAACCGAAAGGGCAAGTCTGGCGGCAAAGGGCACGCCCCGGCTTTGGGAGATGCGGGACGAGGGGGGGTGTTTCGAAGTTGGGCCTTTTATCCGAGGTGCCTTATCTTTCGAAAGTCCTAGAGTTTGTGGCGAGTTGTTCAGAATTCGGATTCTCTTGGCAAACGGATGGCAAAAAAAATCTGTCGGTAACACTATGCCGGTCGGATCCCTGAACATCGTGATCTAATGAGGGGGCCCACCTATTGCTCTCAAACCTAAACTTAACTAGCCTAACGCAGTCACTTCATCTTAGTTCATCAAAAGGAAGCTCCCGATCCTCTTGTGTCCCCAGAGGTATGCAATTCCCCTGCCTTAGCAGCGAGCTTCGCATATGCAGGCGTCAACAAAAGGTGTATTCGGAGCCGCCGTTGGAACCAGGCCGGCACGATGCACCAGCACCTATTAGGGGTATGAGCCCGACAGTTACAGCTCGCGCAGGTAGTCTCACCAAAGGATGGGCATGTTGCTGACACATCTCCACGGGGCTCAAGATTCGGGGTCTAAGCCATCGCCGTTGGGAAGTGCCCGGATTACCTGGATGTTCTGCTGCCCTGCTACAACCAGGCCTGATGCTTCAACCGCAAAGAGTTCGGGAACCTGGAGTGCACGGCCACGGAGATTTCGTTAGGAAGCTGAAGTTGCTCTGCACCTCGACAGCCCAGTCCCCTGTCAGTTCTGCCACAACTAGCGGTGCCGAGGTGGCGGTCGTTGCAACTGGCCCGATGACCATGATGCCAAACTGATGCCGAGCGAGGCAGGTAGCAAAAGTTACAGGCCAAACTCATACTATGTTGCAGTGCAAGGAGGGGTATTGAGTCGACGTCACAAGCCCTGACCTGTACAGTGGCCAGTTAAATGCAGCTTTTGACATTGCCAAGGCGACATGTTGGAAGCTTATGCCAAAAATCCTTTGCGGTAAGTCCAGTGCTGTTCTCCTCTCCGTTATGATGTACGTACTTAATCTTAGCACCCTTATCACTGACATCATTGCTATTTGTTGTTATGGTTTAACAGTCTTGTTTGAAAACAGCCACAGGCTCACCACCTTCGTTTGGTGACTGCTGCCCTCGCTCATTGTTTGGTTACCAACTAGAAACAAGCTAGTGAATAGCTCTGGTGATCATGAAGTTGCTGGCGGTATTCGGATGTATCTGGTAGTATTCATGACAGCAAGCACGCTACATGGTAACAGTGATGATGTTTTCCGTTGGCACGTTGTCGAGCCCGCTCCTTGTCTGAACTGCCAGCTGGCAGTTCCATGTTTTATAGTGATGAAGCGCTTTGCGAGTGCTTTGCAAGCGCTTGCTATCGACTTTTCCCCATGCAGTCCAAGGGAGCTTGCCTTTGGCAGGAGCTTGGCTTTGGCATGACTCTTCTCTGCGCTGGCTGTACAAAGCCGACGCAGTGTCAAAGCAGAGCTTGTGTAAGCTTTTCGTTTAACACCCGCAGATCCTTCTTCGAACAGCCCTTTATCCAGCCAAAGACACACAGACATGTGCTGCATCGTGGGCTGTTTGAAGAGGATGATGACAAGCAGTCAAATTGTGAGACCTACAGAGCAGGAGTCGACTTCTGTTTCGTGCTGTGAGGCGCAAAGTAAGCCAGCTTCTGAAGAGCGAACAGACTGGCAGGAGACATGGGAATTCGTGTATTTGTACAGGCTTCCTGTGTTTGCCGGACAGGCTTTGGCGCCCTCACTTTTCTACAGTTCTGCATAATCTTCTGATATTCACCATAGTCATAGTCGTATGTTCTATTGAGGCATGAATGTCCTGGTCTTGACGCAAGGAGATCTCTTTCGTCCTAGATCCAATTGCTGTCGGTCTCTTGCGATGCGCTGGCACAAGATCGGGTCTTGTGAAACAGCCCGAAGTGCAAGAAGGTACTAACAGGACATAAAGCAGGGTCAACGTTACTGCTTTGGGTGTTTGAGGCAGGCTTCAGTACGGATTTGGTGAGTGTCTCAGAAAGGGCCGGCTTGCTAGTACTGCTCGTATGTCAAAGATCTTCATCACATCAGATGTTTTGTTGCATTCTGTCTGTCTTTAGCTTTGCAGCACGTTAGAAGTTATCAGTTGTAGCTTAGTGGATGCACGATAGGTCACAGTCACACTGTCGGTACCTTCACCATTCTTCTTGTAGCACGGTGTCGCCGCCCAAAGCGAGCGTTTCAATCCTTGCTGGCATTGAGGTGTTTGCTTCGACGATCCTATGAATCGGCAGTTGCCTCAAGCTCACCTGCGATCCCTGTAGACGAGCTCGGTCTCTTAGTTAGCATCACACCGTCGTCAGAACTGCGCAGAGCGTGGACTTCAGTCGCCAGCAAGGAACGGAGCCTGCAGGCACAGCGCCGAGAAAAGATTTGACGTGGACTTGTGCCTCTGTGTGTCAGGTTTGACGAGAGAGTTGGAAACTTCTCACAGGTTTCCTTCAAGGTGTTAATCATCGCTTAGGAGCAGCAGCCCGACCATGAACTCTGCCGCAGTGAGTTCGAGCTTCGTCGCGGAGTTGCTGTTCCGACTGGTTGCAGTCAAGGCTCTTTGGCTGGCGAGAATGTAGATGGGCGAAGCATGCTTGTCAGAAGGCTCCGGAACGGCCGTGGAACGTGTTGAGACAGTAGAGTAGGATGCATCAGTGTACGGGGAAGTTTTTTAAATAAGTGGAGGGCGGCCAAGCCCCCGGAGCCACAGAGGTAGTATAAAAGTTCTGTTTAAATCGACTGTTTAAAAAATAAAGCTCCTCCACCTCACCCCTCCACCCCTACACCCCTGCACCCCTACACCCCGCCTACACCCCACGCCCCTACACCCCTACAGCCCTTCACCCCTACACCCCTGCACCCCTGCACCCCTACACCCCTACACCCCTGCACCCCTGCACCCCTACACCCCTACACCCCTACACCTACACCCACACCCCTACACCCCTACGCCCCTACACCCCTACAGCCGTGCACCCCTACACCCCTACACCCCTGCACCCCTACACCCCTGCACCCCTTACCCTACACCCCGACACACCCTACACCCCCACACACCCCCCCCACCCCTACACCCCTGCACCCCTACACCCCTAGTGTAGGGCTGTAGCAGTGCAGGGGCGTAGGGGTGTAGGGGTGTAGGGGTGCAGGTGTAGGGGTGTAGGGGCTGTAGTAGGGGTAGAGGCGCAGGGGTGTAGGGGTGTCGGGGTGTGGGGGTGCAGGGCGCAGGGGTGTAGGGCGCAGGGGTGTAGGGGTGTAGTGCCGGCGTGTAGGGGCAGGGGTGTAGGCGTGTAGGGTGTAGGGGTGCAGAGGTGTCGGGGTGCAGGGGCGTGGGGGGTGTAGGTAGGGGTGTAGGGGTGCAGGGGTGCAGGGGTGTAGGTGTGTAGGGGTGCAGGCGTGCAGGGGTGGCAGGGGCTCCGCTTATTTAAAATCCGCTTGGCGGCCCCGGCCCGAAGCCAACGGAGGTAGTATAAAATATCTGTTTAGGTATTTACAAATGCGCTTATTTAAAAACCCTCACCGTAAGTTTGCTGGCAGCAATATTTGTCACCTGCAGACCATGCGCCAGCGGCCAGCTGCCATGCAGAAGGCATCAGAAGACTCGCCGGCTCAAGCTGAGCGCAGGCGGAGCTGCTCGAGTTCTTGTGTTAGAGATGTTTGTCTGCTTGTGGGATCTCGTGGGTGTAGTTCCTCTAGACTTTAACTCGGCGAGGATAAGGCTTTGCAGGCTGAATCTACAGTCGGTGACTTTCCAAGCTGCCAAACCTCGAAGACGCGGTGTGGCATCTCACTTGACAGCTTGAGCACCGCCATCCTTCTTCCAGCCTTTTGCAGGCATCACCGCTCTCCTTTCCTGCCTCTCCCTTCCCGGCCTCCCAAGATGGCGACCAAAATCGACAGGCACATTGGCTTGGCGGGTGATCTGACCCCGACGACCGCCAGCGACACTTCGGCTGCTGGCTCGCCCAACAGCTCAGAGCCTGCATCTCCGAAGAGAACATTAATGAAAGACGAGGTCTTGGCTTGGCAGCAAGAGCTGCTTCAAGAATTTTCGTCACCTGCCTTCCAAAAGAGACTGCGACAAGCTTCCAGTCTGCAAGCGGCTGAGTACGAGAAAGCCCGAACGGCTTTAGTGCGCGATGCACACCGGGCGGTGGCTCCTCAGCACGGCTTCCCTGCCACGGATTTTGGCATTGAGCAGATGCTCTTGGCCGTGGACCTGTTTCGGGATGACATGGATGTGTCCGTCAACCAGCAGATTATCCAGGAGCACTTGGTGGCGTGCGAGGTGCCAGTGCCTGGCAAAGAGCAAGCGGCTGTGCCGCTGGGTCACGACAAGAAGGCGCTTGGCAGGAGAGATGTAATCAGACTGCTCAAGAGCCTCCAAGTCAGTTTCAGCGAGCCAAACTTTCAGCAGGAGCTTGCAAAGCTGAAGGAATCGGACGTGAACGCATCTGGCATAGCAGAGGCCAAGGGCTTCCTCCAGCTTCCTGGACGAAATGAACTTGCTTTCGCCGTCCAGGAGCAGTTGGCTCCTTGCTTTGGCTTTGAGGCCAGCAAGCAGGGGATCCTAGCAATGATCTCGACGTGTGCGCAGTTCCTGATGGATCCGGAGATCTCCGAGCTGTTTGATGCCGTCAACATGTACCGTCCTCGGTTGCAGACTTACCTTTGCACCGCCTTTTGTCTTGGTCCGTGAAATCGTAGCGGGGCACCGCGCCAGCGCATGGCAGGAAGTTGGGCATGACTTCGGAAGCATGCAAAGCCTTCCGAGCGAAAGTACTGCTGTGAGCATGTGGGGATGACCTGGCAGCCCGGACATGTCTTGAACATCCGCATGATCGTGGGCATGGGAAGTTTCAGAATGGTCAGAATGATGCCGATGGTGTTGTTGCTGATGACGTTGATTCTGATGCCTTTTCGACGATGATGGAAGTGATGGCACTCAGTTGATGACAGTGATGGTGATGGTGTGATGATTACCAGATTTCCAGCAGCTCTTCGACATCTTCAGAACAGATGTGTCGCCTTCACCATCATCAAAATCGACAGCATCATCACCACCACCACCACCATCACCACCCCCGCCACCACCACCACCACCACCACCACCACCACCACCACCACCACCACCACCACCAACACCACCAACACCAACACCAACTACACCACCAACACCAACACCAACTACACCACCAACACCAACTACACCAACTACACCAACAACACCAACAACACACCAACACCAACACCAA